CCAGTCTATACTTATAAGAGAGCAGAAGTTTAGGGGAACCCAGTTTAAGATTTCCCAGCCCCTTGCAGCACCCCCCCCCCCCCCCGGGGGAAACCCCCCCCCCCCCCCCGGGTGAATACGTGTTCTGTTTGCTACCCATCTAAACTACACCACTTACAGAAAACCGTATAACTTACATTAGTCCTGCCTTGGGGGGTTTTGAATGTCTGTACCTAGCCTCTGTCTTTTGTTCATACTGGGATAGTTTTGTGTTTTTACCCTTGATGTTGTTTCTTTAAGAAACTGCAAACTCCTCTGAACTCATTTCTCCCTTAGGCTTGCTGCTTTTGGAATCATAAAATCTTTCTAAGAATGATAAAATTTATCATTTAAGAATTACTGTCATCCAAGTTGTCTTCTGTTTTCATACTCTGAACCAGTCCTTTACTGTTGGCCTGCATCAAGTCTAGAAGGCCCTCTCTTCTAGTTTTCTCCAAAATAAAATTAAAAAAATGACCCTGGCACGCTCCAGAACAATTGTGCAAAGTGTAAGTCCTGTTGTATCCTTTCCTGTCAGTATCTGGCTAGTTATAAAGATGCCATACACCAAGTCCTGTACTTGGGCTGATTTTGTTAGTTTTCCTTCTCCCCTTTTATCTTTACCCAGAGACTCTCAAACAGAGCTATTTCCCACTGAATTTTTAATCTGAGCGCTGGTACATACATCCCTTCTTTACAAAGGAATGCCTCTTTCTTCCTTTCCCCCAACTGTCCTTCCTGAATAGACTATCTTCTTCTCCATCAACAGACAGTTGACAGAGACAGAATAATGATATATAAAATAATGACAACTATTGAGAAGATTGAAACATTGAACCAGTTTATTGTTACTGTTTCTGGTGCTAGAAAAGCAACATGACCCTGTTGACCGTAAAAACCATCACATTTTAAAAGATGAAAGGCAGTATCTTTTTCATAATTTATTGTTAAGCTTTGAACTCTTTGCTCCAAAGTATTATTCCCAAAGAATTTGGTAGTATTGAAACTTTTCTTTAATAAATATTAAACTATGGAGTTACACAAATTAGAGTAAAAATGCATAGTAATTGTAAACCTCATTTAAAACGCCCAAACAGTTGGTTTTCTGCCATGCTTTTGTTCCACAGGTCCCCAGATAACTTTCACCTCTTGGTATTTTTTGTTTCAGCAGAGCACACGTGTGTGTTCTAAATGCATATCTGACAATGACGTTTCAGTGATTTTTTTTTTTTCTAGGTTCCAGCGTTGCCATTGATATTGTAAATTTGCAGTGACAATATTTCATTGTGGATGCATTTTACTTTTAGTCTGTTCTAGATCTGGGCACTTTTGAAAAGCTTTGCTTGTCGGTACAGTGTGCATTTGGCTGCCACTGGTTTAGATAGTTGGTATGTGTTCAGTCTTCCTACTGCCTTTTTCATACAAGCCAGCATTCTCTCTGTTCCAGTAATCAGTTGAAACCATCACTCTTGGGGACTGTGGAACATGCAGTATTCAGAAATCTCTCTTATTATAGTAAATGATTTCAGCAAGTCAACATAACAGTCATTCTGACTAGAAGCCAGCTTCCTGGGATTCTCCGACTTAGAACAATGAGCCTTGGGGGGGGGGGTGGTATTTTGGCTAAACTCCATCTCGTCTCCCTTCTTTTGAAGAGCTTCAGCTTGTTTTGATGTTCTGTACTAGGAGAGGTCTTGCAAAAGAAATCTCTCCACTCCAGCTTTCTAAATGAACAAATATAAATTCTCAACATCAGTCTCTCTTCATCAGCCTCACATTCCTACAAAGAAATTTCCAGGGAGGCAAGGCTTTTTTGTGATATCTTTTATTTGGACTAACTGTATTGTTGGAGAGCTATTGGACAAGCTTTCTGGTATCAAGTGTCCTTCGTCAGGTCTGAAGAAGAAGCAGAGACAGGTTGATCTAACTATCAGAGAAAAGACCATGCAAAGCAAGCATCCTGCTTAGAGGGATAGAGGAGGGCTGTAAACTAGGAATGAAGAAGTATGAATGTACCCAAATAGTATAGCAGAGGAGGCAATCTAGTGTATGGCAGAACCAAGCCATTCAAGATGGGGTTAGTTATTACTTGTGAAGTGCATGACGATCACTGGCAGTTTTTGTCAGGTTATGATGAAGCCACTGTCTATATTCAGACCAGATTTTTTTACTGTACAGTATAGTTGTGAACTTCTGCTCCCAGTCCCATCTTTTGGAGGTGTTTAGTAAAATTCTGTTTGAGCACAAGGATTATGAGGTCAGAGAGGGAGTGGTTGTTCTGTGGAAAATGTGCAGATATGATATGTCCAGTGACATGAGCCCAAGTAATGCAGATTACAGTAGAACTTTTCATAAGTCCAAAACGGAAGTCTTTGCAGGGCAAAAAAAAAGGCTGAAAGAAACTTATTCCCCCTCAGCTGGACTTTTGAAAAGGGGATCAGAATTTTCTTCTTGACTTGATACATTATTTAGAACCCAAGGATCAGAGGCGGTTCTTGATAGTGGTTCTGAGTGGGTTTTATTTTGTAGAATTCCTCTTTCCATCTTTCCTTTATCTCTTACTTCCAGACAGAAATTAGAGAGAGCACCAATGTTCCCTAGACTGGGAGAATACAAGATTTTGTCATGTCATGTCCCCTCCCCCATCTCTCCCCCCCCCCCCCCCCCCCCCCCCCCCCCCCTTTTTTTTTTTTTCTCCAGGTACTTCTTACATATCAAGAAACTGCTCAATCCTAGATATGATTGCTAATTAATAAAATATTTGACCCAGATCAGGGAGACTACCGTTTACCTTAACCAGCTTAAATGATGCATGTCCTCAAGTTCCTGTTCATCTAGCATATCAAAGTCTTCTCGAATTCTTACTATTCTGAAAAATGAACAGTTTTAAATTTTATCCTCATTTATTCAGGTACTGTCAGAAACTACCCATTTAGGTCTGTAAACATGGGCTCAAGGACTTTTTTGTTCTGTGGAAGGGGATATAGCTTATATCAGTGTTTCTCAACTTTTTTAGGTGTGAGGCAGCCCTTGGAAAATGCCAGCTCTTAGTTTTCACTTGTTTTTTGACTACAGAAAAATAATTCAACAGTTCTTCTGTTGCAGAGAGCTCAGAAAGACCACAATAGGGCTGAATATTTTTTTATCACCATGGGTTCCTATTTGAAACCTCTGTGTTTATTTTGTGAATCATGTTTTTACACTTAGCACTACTAACCTTGTGTGGTACCCCATGGCACCCTTGAAATGATCTCAAGTTACCCAGGGTCCCATGGCACCCTGGTTGAGAATCACTGGTTTATACCATCACCTTCCCTTTGATCATGAAGGTCCTAGGGGCCATTGTCTCTAGAATGGCTTGGTGAGGGTCCACTTCAGACCTTCTCTGCTTTACCCTTTTTTTAGGAAAAAGGGCTTCATTCAAAAGTGACCTCTTCCACCTCAGTCTTGCAGTTCAGTTGTGTGGACTGGCTGGTGAAAAGGGTAGATTGGATAGGTGGTGAATACTCTTATTTCCTCAAGACCAACACCACCAGTGCATACTCTAAGGCAGTGGTTCTCAACCTTTTTAGATTTGAGGTTCTCCTCACAAAATGCTAGCTCTCAGTTTTCACTCATGTGACTATATAAAAATAATAGTGCAATTTTTCTGTTGCAAAATACTTGGAAAGACCACAATCAACAGGGAAGAATGTTTTTAATGTTATAGATTCCTATTTGAAACCTCAGGGTTTATCCTGTAAATTATGGTCGCACACCAAACAGTGCTAGCATTGCATGGCACACCTCAGCACCACTGAAAGGAATTCAAGGCACTCCAAGACACTGTGGTTGAGAATCACTGCTCTAAAGTCTGATCTGCCTGCACCACAGAAGCTATCTATAGACTGTTCACCAAAAGAAAATCCTCTGGCTATGATAGCCTTGAAGCTCAATGAAGCTTGTTAATGAAAGAGCTCTTAAGTAGCTTCCTCAACCCGTTAACTTCTTACTTCCACCTGCTTTGGAGTTGAATAGAAGAGTTTAAGTGGATAGGGTCAAGGTATCCAATGATGACTGCCAATCAAATCCCTGGAGTCTCAACCTAGCCTTGAAAATGCTGTGTTCAGATGCCCTTGAACTATTGATTATAACCGCTCCGCCTGCTCCCCAAAAGAAACCTCTTTATTGGCTGTTGCCTTTGCTCAGAGATGGAAAAATCTGGTATGCATGCATGTGATCGCCATTCTCCTCCACAAAGAGAGAACTTTGTAACTCTTTATGTAGAAGAATGTATTTATCTGCTGTTTAGCTGTAATATGGCCATTTGATTTAGCAGGGAGAGAAGTATTCCAAAGTTTTGTCAAGACACGGAAAGAAAACTTTCATTGTTCCTTAAATCATTGCATGCAAATTAAGATTAGAATGTTAACATTATTTGGGGGGGGGGTGAAGGAGATGTAATTGGTATTGGTTTTTATGGTGGTTGGGGTAAGAGCTTTTAAAGTTTGGGAAATTTACATGATCTGCATATCCTGAAATGTTTGTATCTGTAATAATGGACACAGAGACATTCTCATTCCTTGGAAAGAGGAATGTACTGTGTTTCTCTTGGAATAATCCTATTTATGCACCGATTCTTCTTTTGTTACTTGGAAGGTATTTTGCAAGAGGGAGCCTCCGGATCAAATGAGTCCCTCGGAAGTGGAGCATATACAGTTTGCTTATTGCATGGTAGAGACCCCCCACAACTCTCTCTCCCCCTTATCCTTCCAGATATCTCCAGGCATCTCCGTAACAGTAACTCCTGTTACTTTGCCCACTTCCATTTTAGCACTCTCTCACTTTGTACGAGCTCATGGCTGTACAGATCTATTATTTTAAGGGAGTTAGTCGTATCAATGGAAAACAAACTAAGCTTACTAGCTACTTTCCTTGATGTTGTCTGTTTGTTTTGGAATTTTTAATTCTCCCCCTCATCTTTTTTTTTTTTTAATCAATAGGTTCGCCATAAATTGACGCAGAAAGTTTATGCAATGAAGCTTCTTAGTAAATTTGAAATGATCAAAAGATCAGATTCAGCCTTTTTCTGGGAAGAAAGAGATATCATGGCCTTTGCCAACAGTCCATGGGTTGTTCAGGTAAGGATCGTTTTTATAATTTTGTTTTGTAACTGTTTGTTTTATTTTTAAAAAATTGTTTCAGTTTGGGGTCTAACTTATAGAGTGATTGCAGATATATGTTGGAACGGACATGCCTTTTTTACCTATCTTTTCTAGTTCTGCCAGATTCACTGTTAAGGCAGTGGGAACAATTACAATATTACAAATGTTAAGTGTGTTATGGAATATATTAGGTAAGGGAAGGGTAGATTTAACTTGTGTTTATATAAATACTTTTTATAATCTTCAATGACAAAAAACATGAATGCATGAAAAATTCTTTGTACTTTAATATAAGAATTAAAAAGTTACAATTTTAAACATCTTCATCTTGTGGCTTTGATTTTAAATATTAAAATGTGAGCACAAAGCTTTTTGCTTTATGTGATATATGAGCAACTGACTTGCTAATTAAGTAGTCTGTTTGATGAGCAAACTCAGAAAACGTTGATAGAGTCCTTCAAAGAAGACATTAAATACATATGATGCACCTAACTTATCAAAATAATTCTATAGTGAGAAATTCTTCAATCCCCTTTTGATAACCAGTTTCTTTCCTACAACATGAAAATTGCTAGTTTTAGCATGTTTATCACAACTAACATAATTGCATACATGGTTCCCTCTAAGCTGTGCGAGTGCACAGCTGCACACAATAAAAAATGTTGCCGCGCAGTAACTGCACTGTGGAAGTTGTTCACACAGCTGGAGGAACCGGGCTCCGGCCGGGACCGTAGAGGAGCTCCACTGCTGGCTGTGGCTCGGGGACAGCGGCCCCTGGCACCAAGGACCTTCCCAGAGAGGAGCAGGGCTGTGGCTTCCCAGAAACTTTGGGCTCTGCCCCTGGACCGCGGTACACTTACTGTTCGGCTGAGCGGGGGCCGCTCCGCTCCTTGCCACGCTGGCATCCCCGCGGGGAGGGACAGTGCAGCTCCAGCTGGAGCAGCCCCCAAGGCAAGGCAGGGACGGGGGCTGGGGCTGGGCATGGCACGGGATCCGCTGGATCTGAGGAACTGCTCCGCTCCCCAGCCCCTTCGGGCGAGCTTCGCCTCGAGCACTGCCAGCTTCACCCTCGGGCAAAGGGGATTTGGCTGTTCTTTCCATTAACAAACAGCTGAGAAGTACTGTATAGGCCAAGGTCTCAGAGGGCATGGGCTTTCAGGGCAGGGCTGAGGCTCAGGATTTAAAGGAGAGATTGAGTTTTAAGATTATGAAGAGCAATCTCATCCTCAGGGGAAGAACTGGAGCCACTGAGCAGAAAAGGCTCGGTTCAGGGCAAGTGAAAGGTTCTCAGCTTTGGTGCAGAAACCAGAGGGAGGGAGGACTGGTGGGTTTGAGGTGCTCACCAGCAATGTTCCCGCTAAGATGTATCCATCAAGGTTCCCCCTAAGAGGCAGGATTGAAGTGGTGCGCTCACGGATTGCTATAACTCAGAGCAGGGGTAGGCAACGCTTTTTGGCTGGAGTGCCGAAAAACACCATAATGCCTACCTCTGAAGGTGCCGGAGTGCTGGCATGGCAGAAAAACAAAATGAGGGCAAGGGGTACATGGCAGGATGCCCTGCTTGTGCCCTTTGCCCCCCACCCAAAGCCCCTGCCCCCTAGCCCGGGCTCTGTGGCTACCCGGGCTTGTAGCCAGCCCGCTGCTTGCTGCAGCTGCCCAGAGCCCGGGCTGGCTTCAAACAGCTGCGCCAGGCTCATCACCTCCGTGCCAGGAGCGGGGGAGAGACTGGGGCTGCGCTGCCTCAGGCCCCGCCCCCACTGCCTGTTCTGAGGTGCGCCTGCACGCGCTGGTGCGGCGCTAATGTCGGAGCCTGGCACAGCTGTTTGGAGCCTCCCGGATGCAGCTGCCCTGGCTCTGGGAAGCTGCTGCAGGCCGGGATCCCGGGCTGCTCCCAGCAGGCAGCTGGGACGCTGCAAGCCCTGCTCAGAGCAGCCTGGGCTCCATCGCTGGCAGCAGCTTCCCGGAGCCGGGGCTGGCTGCGGTGTGTCGAGCAAAATGGCCTCACGTGCCACGCTCTACACATGTACCAGGGGTTGCCGACCCCTGGCTTACAGGGAACATTGATTGCATACTCTGTTTTTTTAGATTAAACTACACTACTTGTAGCAAGAAGTGTCTTGTATTAATTATACATTGTATTAAATGAGAAAATATATGTATTACTCAATCTGAATTATGTAGTTTGTTTTCAGTCATATAATCTGAGTGTAATTTGGCTGCATCCTCTCTAGTGCCTTTGAGTATTTTAATAATTAAGCCATTTTTGTTTAAATCTGTGGCTTAGGAAAATTTTGGTATATCAAGAATAATCTAAAATAATTTTACTTTTCAAAATTTTAAGTAGCGTTTACTGTTGAAAGGAATAAGATATTTACACCAATGATTTTTTTTGTTGTACAATGTATTTAATACATACTACTTTTGGAGTAAGAAAATATAGTTATGCATATGCCTTCCATGAAATGGCAGTGCTGTATTTTGACAGCATAGTCCAATAGAATACAACACAACACTTTGGTTTAAGATGGTGTGATTCTGTTTCCAGCTATTAACTGCCATTATCTTGCGCAAGTCTTCATTTTGTTTTCCCTCAGGGGGAACACTTTTGTTGAATGGCTGAGAGCTATAAAGGAAAAAAAAACTAAATAAAGCTTATTAGTAGTTTAAATATTTATATAATTTTCTATCCAATTAATACATGTATTATAATGTCATTGAGATATAGGGGATGCTTAAATAATGGCTTTTTAATTGCCATTTTATATGAGGGCCAGTATTGTCAGGGCAGCTAGGATCTTGAATCAACTTCCAAGGGAAGTGGTGCTCTCGCTTCTACCCTGGAGGTCTTCAAAAGGAGGCTGGATAATCGGAAGGTGCCGGAGTGCTGGCATGGCAGAAAAACAAAATGAGGGCAAGGGGTACATGGCAGGATGCCCTGCTTGTGCCCCTTGCCCCCCACCCAAAGCCCCTGCCCCCCAGTCTGGGCTCTGTGGCTGCCAGCAGCTACCTGGATAATCACCTAGCCGGGGTCATTTGACCCCAGCATTCTTTCCTGCCATGGCAGGGGGTCAGACTTGATGACCTGCTTGGTTCCCTTCCGACCCTACCAACTATGAAACTATGTAATAGAAGATCACTGAGCAAGTCTAAAATATGACTATCATCATGTTTAAACCTGTTCTCTGAGAAATGGGCTGAGCAGCCATTTCTGAGACTTGTTGCATGCCAGTCGCTGAGGAAGCAGATGGTAATGCCCTTGACCTTAAAGCGGAGGTTACTTAAAAATGAAAATGCCTGGAGTGTATTACTCAGAAAAAAAGTCTGAAATACTTTTGTAAAGAAATAATTTTACTTTAATGCTGCTAGTAACTAAAATAGTAAATGTAACTAGATCCAAAATGGTATTAAAATTAAACATTTAAGTTAGATTCTTCAGCTTCCTCACTTCAGGGTTATATCACTTAACCTATTTTTGTCATGTCAGACTGGTGAAGTGAGATGTAATAAATACTGTTGAATTTTAAATAGCAGTTATGCCATAGCTTCTAAATATCTGAATAATATATACATGAATCTTTAAAACTGTTTGAGATACAAGTCATCATTTAGCTATTTCAAGAACTTTGAATTATGCTGGCATCTCAAGGGAACTAATTTAGAATGTCTTTTTATGCTGGATTTAGGCTGAGAAACAGGGCTAGATGGTTGGTTAGTCATTGGAATGAATGAGTAATCTTTTAAGTTTTCTGAGACTGAGATGCTATGTGAAATGCCTAAAACTCGAAAATCTAAATGTTGCCGTACCATAACCTTAAAAATCTCAGAAGATCTGGAGTTTGTTAAAACACAAATGCAAAATACCATCCATCCATGTCTCCCTTTCCCTTGCTTAAGATACCTTTCTGAAATAATCTGCTCTCCATTTTGTTTCAGCTGTTTTGTGCCTTTCAAGATGACAAATACCTGTACATGGTAATGGAATACATGCCAGGTGGAGATCTTGTAAACCTTATGAGCAATTATGATGTGCCTGAAAAATGGGCTAAATTCTACACAGCTGAAGTTGTTCTTGCTCTGGATGCAATCCACTCCATGGGCTTGATCCACAGAGATGTGAAGCCTGACAACATGCTTTTGGATAAACATGGGCACCTGAAGCTGGCAGATTTTGGCACTTGTATGAAAATGGATGAAGTAGGTTTGCTGCTATGTGTTTTTTATCCATTAGGAAAATATACAGCGTTGACATTTTGTTTTATGACACCTGAATGAAAGCTCAGCTAACTGACTCACTTGGCTGCTGTGGTGTTTCTTGCCATCTTATTTTTAAATAGAAGGGGACTTAATGTAGTAGAACAGCATCCATAATAAACTGCTCTGGGATGGCAAAGAAGGAAACTTATTTTTTGTTATTTCTGAGAGAATATATTTATGAATCTTTGAGGGTCATTATTTAGTCACATGTCTGAACAGCTCATGAGACACCACCTAATTTCAACATTAGTAACCCTGGAGTAATTTATGAACTGACATTTTTCTGTAAATGAAATTGTAACTGAGAAGGCAGCAAACTCATGTGGTCTTTGCTATATATCATTACTCCTATAGCACCCCCTAGTGGCATTTAGTAACACTGAAAAGTTAGAGCAAGGTAGAGTACCCAGTGAAATGTGGTATGGGACTGCTGCTGCTTCTTGTTCAGAACAATGCGTTTTAATTGTCCATGTGTTAAAATGTCCTGCCTGATGAGCCACATTCTTTCAGGGGATGTTGTTGCAGTAAAGGTAGTTAAGCTCTTGACCCTAACTTTTTTCTTTGTTTTGTCATTTCTGTTTTAGGAGTAGGATATCTTGGCTTGAGGGATCCTCTTTGGCTGTATTGAGCTAGTAATATTTTATACTTTTTTCCCTCCTTTCCTTGTCATCTTTCATTTATTCTTTGCACTATTTTTTCTATAGTGCTATTTTGAGTTATCACTTTTTTATAACAAGGGTAAATATAGCCTGAAATACAGGTTTTTTTTCCTGCTCACGATAAATCATCAAGTTTTTGAGAAACTAATAGCATTTACTTGGAGCATCAACAAACTTCTGTTTTGTTAATGCTACCGTGATTTTTATTCTGTTAGTAGGCAAATTGTTGACCCTTATGTTGATTCTGGGCTGCTGAATGGAAGAGTTAATTTATTGGCTTGTCAGTGACTTAAGCAGCTGAGTTGTTATGCTGTAAGTGTATAGCCAGGCTGCTCAGCTTTTGAGTAAACAATATTTTTATTGGTAAATCTAAATAAATGATTTGGGCCTTATAGATGTTAAAGTCCTACTGCACATTTATGTCTATCTGAATATTAACTAAGCTGCTACATAATGGTTTATGTCTTCAGGTTCTATTGCTACTTTCACTGCACAAACTATATAATATCAAACATATGGCCCATAGGCTGAATCCAGTCCACGGAGGTGTATTATCCAGCTTGCAGGTTGGTGGCGCTGGCCCTGGCCTTGGCCCTGTGCACTGCATGCAGTACATGTGTTGCAGGAAGTATAGGGGTTTGGACCCCCTGTGCCACAAGCAGTGCCGGGTCCAGCCTGTGCCCTGTGTGCTAGCCTGCAGGCCTGGCACAGGGCACACGCTGCCCATGGCTTGCAGGTTAGAAAGGGGGTCTTTCCAGGGCGGTGCATGCAGACCATGCCCCAGACCCCCATGCTGTGTGCAGTGCCAAGTCCAGCCCACATACTGTGGGCTGTGCGCATCCCATACCGGCCCAGGGGCCATGTGCACAGTGAGCCCCAAGGCTAGTGTGTGTTTCATGCGGTGCATAGGGCTGGACTAGCCACCTATGCTGTAGGCAGCACAGGGGACAGCATGGTGTACACACAGCATGCAGTGCCCTGCCAGATCTGGAGCCAGTGCCTAGTGCTGGTCCTGTGCTGTGTGCAGCACATGCGGATGATCCAACCTTGCATGCAGTGTGCAACATGCACTGGCCCTGGGGTACACCCTACATGTGGCCCCTGAGGCAAGCACAGGACACATGCTGCCCATAGTGCACCGGCTGGATCTGGCATGGCGGCAGCAGCAAAGGGGATCCAGGGTGTGGGCTGCATGCAGCACCCTGGATCAACGCCCCATGCTGCTTGCAGTGCTGATCTAGCCTGCACACCATGGGCTACATGTATCCCATGCTGGTCCTGGGGCCTGGCACATGCAGCATGCAGACTGGACCTAGCGCTGCAGCTGCTCCATGGTGGATCAGTCCTGGTCTGGCCCCAGGCAGGCTCAGAGATTCTCATGGTGCATGGGGCCAGATGAGTTCAACAGCTCTGGTTTAATGCACTCCATCTTCCCTTCTCTGATGCTTTCCTACTAGACTGGTGACTTTTAGAGCCCTGAGTGACAGGTGGCAAGCACACTGTGATTAGTTAATTTCGTTTAGTCATTTGAGTTTGAATTCAGCCTTGTAACAAGCCTCATTTTCCTTTCATTAAAATAAATAGAAATAGTGTTTGATCCATGTACTGTGGCCTTTTATGGCTAAGGATCGAATAAAACCACCCAGATGGTACATACTTTATGCAATTTTATTTCCCAAAGAAAAGTAGCACAGAAACAGAAGTCTCGCCAATTACCTCATTAGTGAGACATGTCTGAGTTGCTGAGCAGATCTTGCAACACCGGATGCCTCTCCAGTTACAATGTAGCGCTGAACTGAACGTTTTAAGCGCTGATTGTCTTATTAGCAAGGCGCGTTCCCCACACCTCTAGCTTATATTGAGTGCCGGGAGCAGTCTAGGTTATCCTCTGGCTCTCCGCACCACTGCACGTGGCAAAGCTGTGGATCTGGGGTCGGGGTTTAGTCCAGCCTGGGTTCCCCTTGCCCATCCCTTGTCCCAGGGTTTTTATCACTACTTGGGATTCCCCCGCCAAGCCGCTATGCTGCGTCTCAGCTTTTCTCACACTCACCAGGATAGTCTGAGGAGTACGGTAAGCAGCCTGCCTGATGTCTTTCGTCTCAGGTCCTGTAGTCCCGACATCTTTTCCCAGGTTGTCAGACAGGTTCCTTGTTTCTCCCACCTTTTCTCGTGCCTGAAGGCACTCAGTCTGTCTCCTGCTGCCAGTTTTATGCTGTTTTTTCGCGGGCTAATCACCCACTCTTGTCTTGGGTGTGTGATTTCTCCCACCTGGTAGGGGTCATCATCGGGTCAGTCTGACCAGACCTTGTCTAAGTAACAGGGCTCCTGCTTGAGTCCCTATTACAATGATCCTTCAATAATTAGATTTTATACGTGGAAAATGATGACAAATGTATACATTTTCCATATATACAGTCAAATTATTGGGTTGTTATCTTAAATTCAGAGTCATCTTAAATTCATGTAAATATGGTAATAAAACTGCTGCGATCACTACAAAACTCATAACTAGAGGCAATAATAAAATGTCGTTGTGCTTCATGGTATAAGATTATACTGTCCTCTAGACTTTGGAAAGTCATTAGTGATTTCTTTGGGAACCACAAAAGCTAAGAATACTAAACCCCTCCATTTTTTCCTTTTTAATCAACTTGAACTAAACATAAGACTTTATTAGTTTTACTTATATGCAGCGTTCTTGTGAGGAATAACAGTATATGAAACTATGGAAGATTGGAAATCAATATTTTTTTTTTTTAATTGAGGGGTTTTATTAATATTATTTTTAGCAGCTTAGGTTATGAGGTTTCATAAACCTAGAATATCGGACTAAATGAAATAGAGGAAATATTTTATATGGGAAACTGTAGAAATGGACACATTGATATTGAAAGAGTTCTGGATTGTCTCCAGTTCCTGCTCTATTTCCTATACAAGACGGAGAAATCCCTGCTGTGTAAATACTATATTGGCGTTAAAAAAATGACCTCTAGAGAAAATATGCCACCCTAACTTCTGGGTTTTTTTTCTTTTCTGACTTTGAGTTCTTTTTGCAGCTGTATACATAAGCATTTAGCTTCTTCTGTATAAAACAAAACAAAAAAAAAAATAGCAGCACAAAGGGGTGAACAGTTGAGAGGAAACTTCCTTGTTTGAGAAATTTTTGAGGAATTCAAAGCAGTGTTCTCTAAACCAGCCTAGATGCTTGGACCCAGATCCTGTACTGCCTTTTAGAAGTCTATGTAGCACTTATTTCAGTTACTAACTGTGATCCTGTTTCACTCTGCCTGAATACCTGGAAAATGGTTAGCATCTCTGCTTCTGTAACACAAGCTTGTTTTAGTCTTATGCTCCTCCATTACAGGGAGTTTCTGCCCACATATTGTATAGTGGTTAGGACACTCATTCAGGAACTGAGATATCTAGGTTACAGGCCCTGTATCAGACTGAACCCACATCTTCTGTTTTCACAAAAGTGCCCTACGCACCAGGCTATGTGATAGGTGGGTCTTCCCCTCTTTGAAGCTGGGCACTGGATGGGAAAGAATACAATTCTTGAGGCAGGAATGAGAGGAAGCAAGTGAGAGTTTGACTCTGAGACAATGAGGAAGACATTGCTTTGGAAAGGAGTCAGTCCTGAGTTTTGCTTCTGCTTTTGAGTGTTGTTTATGCACATTATCCAGTCACTATTTTAACAGCATCGGAAGCTGCGTGAGACTTCAAACCTAAGTTTCCGAACTCCTAAGTCATTGCCCTAACAACCAGGTTGTTGGGCAGAAAGTATATGGGTCATTTTCCTTGTTGCTGTCATCTCTGGGAGGTAGAATAGGATCTATAGATAAAGATGCCTAAAGTATAACCCCGAGTGGTAGGAATTCATGTTTCCTATAGGCTGTCTGTAGGTGACTCGCAGATGTGCATAAGGCTTCCCATTTTCCCATATTGTGCTGTTGGAAGCACAATATCCTGTCTATTGGAGAATGAGAAAAATGCATTTCCGTAGAATAAAATCTCTCTTCTGATTTCCTTTCATTCTCTCCATCTCTGCATGTTGAGCTTTATGTAACTTCTTTGAATCAGGGCACTAGCAAACCTGACATTGCAATCTGTTTTTATTGGTCTGTCAGCTGGAAACAGGCCCTGCCTGCTGCTGTATTAATTGAGCAAGCATTTTAAAACTTTGCTTAACTCAAACACTGCACTTTTTATAGCCTTCCTGTTCTTCTGATATGGATTTTATTTGATTTTTAAATGCAGTTTTTAAAAATAAAAACATGCTATTGATCCACAACTGGACTTCATAACTTAAGCTGTGTGGTCAGGAAAAGCTTAATAGCCTTAACCCACCAGAATCTCTGGAAGGACTGCTGTTGACTTCAGCAGGCTTTGGCTCAATCCCATAGTGCATGTGCTTGGCTTCCTATGTATTGGAACTTAAATTAAATCACATTTTTCTTTTTCTTTTTACGGATCTGAGAAGTTCCTCCTTTTTAAAAGAATTAATGAGCAATGTCATGAATTTTTCTTCTATCTTAAGGCAGACAAGGTTCTTTGGGTAGATGTGCCCAAAAGCTTGCAAAGAACAATTTTTCCAACTATTTAGTTGATCTAATAAAAGAAATCACATCTACCCAAAGAACCTTGTCTGCCTATGTCCTTAGACCAACGTGGCTACAACCAAACAACCCTCCTATCTTAAAACACTTCTGTAATAGAAACAGTTTGAGATGGTATAAATATTTTCCGAGCTAATCATCTTGAATCATTTATTTTCCTCAAAATTACATACATGTACTAAATGTTGTTTTGTTGAAACAATGAATCTATTAATTTTATCTTTAAGTGCATTTTGATAGTTTTTGTCATTATTATTACCATTTTGTTAGACAGGCATGGTGCATTGTGATACAGCTGTTGGAACACCTGACTACATATCACCCGAAGTACTGAAGTCACAAGGAGGTGATGGCTACTATGGGCGGGAATGCGACTGGTGGTCTGTAGGAGTTTTTCTTTTTGAGATGCTAGTTGGTGAGTAAAACTACATTAATGTAATTTCTTCTTCCAACATGGCTGCCCAGCCCCAGAGGGGGACTCTTCCCCCTGCTCCTCCCACCTCGCCACCCCAGGAGGGGGGCTCTGTTTGGTGCTGGAGGGGGACTTTTCCCCTTCCTCCTCCTCTTTGTTGACCCCTGCTGCCACAAGGTGAGGAGGGCAGCTCTGTGCAGAGTGGCCCTGCTGAGCCCTGGCCAAGACAGCCACATGGCTGGGCTGGGCTGGGCATGACCCTGTTAAGGTGAATGGGGCAGGGAGGGGGTTAATTCCTCCCTCTCTCCCTGCTGCTTCAGGGAACTGCAGCTGGGGTCTGCCAGCCCCAGCTGCCGACCCTTCCTCTCTGCTGCTTCCCAGCAGACAGGCAGATCCCAGCTGCTGTGGTGGGGAGGGGAGAGTGGAGCGGCAGGACCAGACCTGCTCCGCTACAGCAGAGAGCCCAGAGAGCAAGGCAGAATGCTGGGGGGACTCTGGTTTAACTTAAACCAGGAAGAGATCTGGGACAGACATTGCATAAACCGGTTTGAGCTCAGTCATTTAACTGGGCCATTTTGAAACGGGTTTATGTGCACAGCACATCTCTTCTATTACAGGTTTAAACCAGTTTCTGATCACTTAAACCGGTTTATGTGTTATGTCTGCCCATAACCTCAGTTTTTAAAACTGCATGTGAAGTCAGCATCATAGTCCAGTAGCAGAGTGTTGATTTAGAAATCTGGTTCTGGATTACTTTGTCTAGAGCATTGTGTTCTGGGAACACTGAAGAATCTGACGTATTTTTCTGGGTTCCTGGAGCGAGAAAGATACTTGCATGTATGCAGTTACTGAAATGTTAGTACCTTTTGAGCTTGAAGAGAATTTGACTTACAAAGATTATTTTTTCTAATTATAAAGTTGTTTGATGTACTTCGGTTCTTTAAATTCTAGGGATATTTTTTTTCCTCATTTGTCCCTCTTCATTCTTCATGATCTTAGTGAAGGATTTTGGAATATTTTTTTTTGGATCCCTCTCCATACAGTAATTAAGCAAGCCTCTCTATTTTCCCTTCTGTTGTAGATTTGCCCTTCTCTGTCATAGAAACAGAATCATAGAAAATGAGGGTTTGAAGGGACCTCAAGAGGTCATCTAGTCCATCCCCCTGCTGACCCATCCCCAACTAGATCCCCAACAGCCAAGGTTTTGTCTAGCCAGGTCTTAAAAACCTCCAAGGATGGAGAGTTCACAACCTCTCTGGGTAACCTGTTCCAGTATTTTACTACCTTCCTAGTGAGAAAATTCTTCCTAGTATCTAACCTAAACCTAATATTTAATCTTGCTGCAACTTGAGACTGTTGCTCCTTGTTCTCACATCTGCCACCACTAAGAACAGACCAGCTCCATCCTCTTTAGAACCCCTGTCAGGTAGTTGAAGGCTGCCATTAAATCCCCTCTCAGGCTTTTCTCCTCCAAACTGAGTAAGCCCAGTTCTCTCAGCCTCTCCTCGTAAGTCATGTCCCCCAGCCCCTTCACCATTTTTGTTGTCCTCTACTGGACTCTGCCTAATATGTCCACATCCTTTCTTTAGTGGGGGGCCCAAAACTGGACACAGTACTGCAGATGTAGCCTTACCAGTGCGGAATAGAGGGGAATAATCATTTCCCTTGCCCTGCTGGCATCATGCCTACCAATGCAGCCCAGTATAACATTAGCCTTCTGGGCAACAAGGGCACACTGTTGTCTCATATTCAGATTATTGTCCGTTGTAACCCCCAGGTCCTTTTCTGCGGAGCTGCTACCCAGCTGGTCAGCCCCCAGCCTGTACCAGTGCTTGGGATTGTTCCATCTTAAGTGTAGGACTTTGCACTTGTCTTTGTTGAACCTCATGAGATTCCTTTTGGCCCAATCCTCCTAGCCCTATCCTTCAGCGCATCTGCTACTACCCCCAGCTTGATGTCATCTGCAGACTCACTGAGGGTGCACTCTATGCTGTCTTCCAGGTTGTTGATGAAGATACTGAAAAAAACTGGCCCTGGGACCAACTCCTGGGGCACTCCACTTGATACCGGCTGCCAACTAGACCTTTGCACCCAGTGCACCAGCCAGTTTTCTATCCGGCTTACAGTCTATCCAGATTTTAGCTTGCTTGCAAGAATGTTGTGGGAGATTGTATCAAAAGCCTTTCTGAAGTCCAGGTATACCACATCCACCGGTCTCCCCACATCCACAGAGCCAGTCATTTCATTGTAGACAGCAGTCAGGTTGGTCAGGCACGACTTGCTCTTGGTGAGTCCATGCTGACTTCCTAATCACCTTCTTCTTATCCAAGTGTTTAGAAATGGATTCCCTTTTTCCCTTTCTTAAATACGGGTACTATGTTTGCCCTTTTCCAATTATCCGGGACCTCTCCTGATTTCCATGAGTTTTTAAAGATGATGGCCAGCAGCTTTGCAATCACATCAGCCAACTCGCTCAGCACCTTTGGGTGCATCGTGTCTGGCCCCATGAACTGTGTGTCCAGCTTTTCTAAATAGTCCCTAAGCTGTTCTTTTGCCACAGTTGGATGCTCACCTCCTCTCCAAACTATGCTGCCCAGTAGTCTGGGAGCTGCCCTTGCCTGTGAAGACAGGCAAAAAAGGCATTGTGCACGTTAGCCTCTTCTGCATCATCTGTCACTGGGTTGCCTCCCCCATTCAGTCAGGGATGTACACTTTCCCTGATCCTCCTCTTGTTACCGACATACTTGTAGAAACCCTTCTTGTTACCCTTCATGTCCCTTGCTAGCTGCAACTCCAGTTGCGCTTTGGCCTTCCTGACTTCATCCCTGGGTGCTTGAGCAATGCTCTTATACTCCCTTCCAGTTGTTTGTCCAAGTTTCCACTTATAAGCTTCCTTTTTGTGATTTAGTTTACTAAAGAGTTCCCTGCTAAGCCAAGATGGTCTTCTGCCATACTTGCTAGTCTTCCTGCACATCAGGATGGCTTGTTCCTGAACTCACAGTAAGCCAGTATCCAGACAGTGTTTTTCAGATGCTTAACTCTGCTGCATCTCAGTACCATGATCACCACTCACTTGGATCCCATAATTTTCCAGTCATGTTTTTTTTATCTTCTCATTGGTCATCTTAATTCAGCGCGCGCATGTGTGTCTTCTCGTGGGTTATCTTACTTCAGCCTTTGTCTGCGTTTACTATAATTATACTAAACTATGCCCAGCTTTGTCACCTTTAATGTTTCTTGTGCACCATCTCCCCTTATATTGAGCTGCAGTTTAACTTCAGTCAATTAAATGTTTAAAAAAGTGATTTCCACCAAGTAAGATCATTAGCAGTGTCTTTGACTGGCACCCAACAAAATACACAATTGATGTCGTACTTGGTTCTGAACTATTCTTCTCATGTTTGCATTGTATGTAAGTGTGCCTTCAGTGTCTGTAATATGGGCTGAATGCCATTTTGCTGAAATCTCCATTCATGTTTTCATCTTGCCTTGCTTTGACTAGGGCAGATTCCTTCTTCCAATTAAAAAACTCAAGTCCCAACTTCAGTGCAGTGTTCAGACTTCAGTGCATGCAGAGGGTGCCTATACTAGGTGAGAGAAGCAGCTATGTCATTCCCATCCTAAAAAAAAACTCCAGAGCCACCTCATTGATTCCAGAATCCAACTCAAAATTACTCATTTTGCTTTTGAAACTCCAGCGGACTTGCAGAAGCCTCTCAGTTTTTTACTATGTTGCCTTCCATTCCTTCTCTTAATTGAAATCTGCTTAATTCTAGTTTGCACAAATTGGTTTAAAGTTTTCTCTTTAACAACTCCTATTACCTATCTATTCTCTTACCTCTACTTCTCAACTGCTTTCTCTCTATTTTTTTTAATTTGTTATTGTCTGTGCTAAATAATGCAAGAAATCTTTTGGGGATGCAATTCACAACAAAGGTGCTTCAGTAAATGAAATTTTAATGATGAGATTTGAAGTACAAATTGTTAGCTGGAGGAGTGGGCTATCTGGATGCTTTAGTTTACCGTTCCAGGTAAAGTTAATGAAGAATGTTCTTAATACTAGTCTCTTTTCAGGGTGCTAGAAAAATAGAAGGAAGGAGGATGAGAGGGGAAGAGTGGTTGACCATGAAATCTGTGCAGAACCAAAATAGTATTCATTAGGAATTTATAGTAGATTTAAATGTTAATATATATACTAATTTGTAGGAAGAGTTCTTGGGGTTTTTAACCTTTCCAGGTCAGAACTGATTGTATTCATTTAATCAGAATGCGTGTTCTCTCTTTGGTGAAATCAGTTATACCTGTGCAAGCCTCTTGAAGTTGGTGGATTTAGAGGTATCACTGAGGGTATAATCAGCAGACATAAAGGAACTATGTATTTGTGACAAAAGTCAATATAGTGTGCAGCAACTTCAGGACTAGCAGTGATGTGCAATGTGGAAAAATCTTGGTTGATTCTGGGCCAACACTTTGCTCTCCATTGTAGACTTGACTGGCTTCAGTTTTGTTTTGTTTTTAACTGAGATGCAGTGAATGTGGGATCAATCTCATTTTTAAAGAACTGCTTTACAGAATAAAAGTGCATTCACACTTCCACTTGCATATTGGTCCGTTTAAGATTTCTGTTAAAATAAATCTTGCCAATTAATTTTTTTTTAATTTTAGGTGATACTCCATTTTATGCAGACTCATTAGTAGGAACATACAGTAAAATCATGGATCACAAAAACTCACTAGTTTTCTCAGAAGAAGTGGAAATCTCTAAGCATGCAAAGAATCTCATCTGTGCCTTTTTAACTGACAGGTATGTGTGTGTACTATTTTGGTACAATATCTATTTTAGACATAATGGCTACTTCTCTTAATTGTACTCCCCAAATCACCTTCATTTTCTGAGAAATTAAGCCTACCTCTGCTTCATAGTTGCTGGCTTTTTTTGCAAGCTCTGCACATTATGTGTAGGTAAAATCAGTGATTCTCTGAGCAGTTCTGGCAGCTCCTTCTATGGAACAGTTTTGCAATTAAAAACCTCAAGTCCCAACTTCAGTGCAGTGTTCAGACTTTTAATAAAAATCCCTGCTACAAAAAGGTCTTAAATATGGTAACTTACAACCTGACTTTCATTCATTAAATACTGTACACTGCATAACTATGAAAAACACACTAGAACCAGACACTTCAGAGGGTTAGATTCTTCAGCCTTCTGTGAAGACAGGGCCACAATAAACAGCTACTGATCAGTAATCACTGATGAGCCCTGGCTGAGTGGAGAAGCAGTGTCCTTTGAAGTAAAAAAACTGCAGAAAACATCTTTGCCGCTCATCCTCTATTTAATCATTTGCTTCAGACTAAGTGACATGTAATAATTGAACCATTTCCAAATGTCATTGATTGGGAATTGGTTCACGGTTGTCATGGGTCAGAGGTATTCACACAGAGTGACCATGCATACCAGGTAGAAGTATCACTTTTTCAGTGCTGTGGCTCCAACACCAGGGAGTAGGAGTGAGGACCCAGTCTAGCATGCCTCACGGGGGGTGGAGGAGGAGTGCTTGCACCCATGCTTTGGGCATTTGAGGGGATGAATGACTTGTGGCTGGGGGTACTTTCACTTTCTGCTTGCCCTTCTCTCCTAAACTTGAGTTCGGTATATTTCAGTAGTGCAATTGACTGAAGTCTGCAGCGTGATTTGGGGTGGCTGGCAGGGTGGGGTTGCCAAAGCCAAGGGGTGATAACAAGGGAACACAGTTAAGTAGAAAATGAGTTCACAGCTGGTTGTCAGATAGCTGTTTATTGAACAAGCAGTGCAAGGTACCTCATTTTTTTCAAATGCCAACAAATGAGAGGGCACAGTAGAATTCTGGTCATGTATTAGAGCAGCTAGTTGCAGCACTTAAAGGGGGTGAGGAGTGTGGGGTGCCTTGGGCTCTGACCAGCCTAATGTCACAGAAGCCTTGGTGTCCACACAAAGCATGTACCCAGTTCACAGTATGTTGGTTTGAAAGAGCACCTGATTTTCCAGGTAAACTTTTGAAGAGTTCCTAGCTGCTTTAAACTGGTTTTGGGTTTGTATATCTGTCCGCTTCATGTCGACCACATCTAGCAGGCTCAGTGGTACTTGTGTCCAAAAGTGAAGAGTTTTATACAGTTGGGTTTTCTTTCTTGAGTTATACAGCTTTTTTTAAAAAAAATCATTATTTTAACCTCTTTGACGTATGAATTTGCAAATATAGATAATGAACCAGAAAGGGGCAATTGTTCTGGATATAAACTGCCAAGAGAGATTTCCCATTGTACAAGGGGAGCTTGTTGTTGACATTAAGCTGGCAGATACTAAATTGTTTCCACTCCCTCCTTCCACCCAACCAAATGTACATACACACACATTCATGTGCTTTGCTAGCTGATTCCTTATTGGCATATGCTAGAGAACCCCCAGACTGTTAAAAGAGACTGGACTGGACCATGCAGAGTCAACTGGGAGCATCCGGGTGTCATACTGTCCTTCACTGACCAGAATTTCAGTAGAGAACCTTGCCCAGTAACCTTGTGAAATGATTGATTTTTAAAAATATATATGTTTTTAAAGTACATGCCAGTTAAACTTAGTTTTGCATTTCAAAGGGCATTTGTGTAGCCTGTTGAGTAAGTGTGCAGCTAAAGAAGTACCATTCATGAGAAAACTGTTTTAGTAGGATTTTTTTCCTTCTTTGCATCCAAGGAATGGTTGAAGGGTGGAGAGGGGATATATGAGAAGAGTTTAATACTGTAAATGTGGCCAGGAGTACTTCCCCCACATGTGTATGTCTTCCTGTTTATATTAAAATGTGGTGTTCAAGGGATTTATTTAAAACAGATGCCCTCTTTCTGTAGTGGATGATCACTACTGAAGCACTTGAAGTGACAAGAAGGAATGCGCATCTCTTGTGTGGCATATTAGTTCTAGAATACAAGTTGTTTTTCTGTTCTTGTAGACCGCTCTAGAAGACGGTCTTTATGTAAAGACCTAGAATTTTTGTTGTTGCTCTTAAAACTTTACCATTTGTTGACTTCATAGCGAGTGTAATCAAAAGATGTGTAAGGGTTGTTTTTTTAGTAGAAGACGAGAGAATTTTTTAAATATTTATTTTAGTGGGGCTTGAATAACTGTTCTGTATACTAAGCCAAACCTCCTTTCATTTGCGTCCTAAGGTTTATTGTGTGGTTTGGCAGATTCTGTAAGTTTTCAGTTGATATTTTTTTTCATTTAAAACTTTGTGCCTGTGTGCTCCCTTTCTACACAGACTCTCAGTGGAAAAATGCTTTACTCCCCACGTGGCAGACTGCAAATTGAGTACTAGCAGGGAGAGTGCCTCCTAAGAAACTGGGGACACTTTGTATGAGAAATCAATTGGTTATTAATGTAATTCAGGTTAGCATTCACCAACTGCTCTCACTTTAACATTTGCTTTAAAATTTTTGTGCCATTTTACATGAAGACAACTGTTAATTAAACAAAAAGAAGTGATGTTTTTCCTAACCTGACATTGGGTTAATTGCTATGTTTAGGGAGGTGCGACTTGGGAGGAATGGGGTAGAAGAAATTAAACAGCACCCTTTCTTTGAGAGTGATCAGTGGAACTGGGATAATATTCGAGAGAGTAAGTAGTTTAAGCTAAAACTTTATTTTTTTTATCATGTTCAATATTTGCATAAACCAATTCCTAATACATTAAATGTGTAATTAAAAATGAAAAAGACAACATTTTTGTAAAGTTAGTATTTTATTTGTAAAGTATTTTTTTCTGTTTACCTGAGTTTTGCATAAGCAACTTTTTGTTTTGTTTTTTAAACCGGTCATTCCTGTTTATACTAAAAGCATAATTATTATAAGTACACATTTCCATGCTGCAAAGCACTGTGTTTATTTCTTTGAGCTTTTAGTATTTTTACAAATATGCATATATTCAGTTCTACTTATCCTAACTTGCCTACCTCCTAAAGGTAAAAGTCCCATTATCTTATAAATTAACATTCTCTAAGTATACTACTTTATGTATATAGTTTAAGGCAGTTTGAATTCAGTTGCCATAGATAAAATCAACTGCTTATTTACCAGTTTGATCATAACTACTTTAATCCAACATTTGCTGAAACTTATTAAAATACTTAAACAAAGACTGGGATTTAGTCGCTGACCAAAAATGTAGATGTTTTAAAAATGTATGCTTTTTCATTAAAACCTGCATGCCTTAGCAAACTGATACATTTTTGTTGAGCTTTTGTTTCTAGAGCTTTTAAAAATATTTGGTCATATGTGGCATTGCAAAGAAATGAATTTTTAATAATACATAATATTTGGTCTACTACATGGAATAGTATAGCAAGCTACTATAAGCCACAGTTTATATTGCATTATAAAATGTTTTGGGTTTGGGGGGATTTACAACTAGGGATGTGGAATTTTTATTATGAAACTGACTTTTTTCTCCCTCTTTGTAGCTGCTGCTCCTGTGGTACCTGAACTTAGCAGTGACATAGACAGCAGTAATTTTGATGACATTGAGGATGACAAAGGAGATGTGGAAACCTTTCCAATTCCCAAAGCCTTTGTGGGAAACCAGCTGCCTTTTATAGGATTTACCTACTACAGAGACAATTTGTATGTGACATTAAAATATGCATCCTTAGAAACATATTTGAAGATTCTTATTACATCCTCCTCTTTTTGCTGTAAATATACAATTGATTTATGTATAGTGTACCATAATTAGTACGTGCCTCGTGTTGAAATGCAGAGTTTAAGTAGTATTTATCAAAATATTCTGATTTGGTGGGGAGGGAATACTTTGATACTTATGTGATTAGACATTGGTGTCTACATGCTGCAAATTTATAGTATTTTAACTGCTTTTGTGTTTTAACATCTAGACTGGTTATAGCTCACTTTTCTTGGAGTAGTAATTTTGGAAAGAGTATTCAGCTAAGGCATATTGTGTAAAAGCTGTGTCTCTTTAATTTGTAATTGTATATATCATCATGTTTGTCATTATGCAACTGTTGTAAATATTCATTGTAACCTTGCATTGAACTGAAAAAGTCTGAACATTCCCTTTAGTCAAGAGAGCATTCAAATGAAAAGGAAGAGAACTTGTACTGAAAAAACTGGCCTTATTCTAAGACTAGCCCAGGAGAGATTAAGGCCTGAGTGAATTGATTAAAATGAGTTGATTGGTTTGGTTGCCAGAGTTGATGAAAACATGAATAACAGTTAGTTTTTGGGTTTTTTTAACAGGTTGTTAAGTGACTATCCTCAGTCTTGTAGAGAAAATGAATCCATGCAACTTAGCAAAAATGAGGCAAGTGCTTTAATATCTGTTTGAATTATTCTGCTGTCTGTTAAGAAAAGGCTTGCATTCAAGAGTGAATATTGTATGAATATTGTATGTAGATTGTTTTGCTTAATTTTAGTCTATTTGTCTGTATTTACAAGTAGTTATTCAATAGTGTATATTTTAGACAGAAGGATAAGTTTCAGTTAGAAATTAAAATATAGTGGAATTAATAACATTTGTAGTAATGACTGCAAGGGTTGTATATGTCTAGGTCCGTCTTGAAAATGTGTTTTCCTATGGAAGTTATAACAAATATTTGTAAATCTATTGTGTGCCTTATAATTACAGCATAAGGCTCCCATTAAATTTCTTCAAAGTATAAAATAAGTATGTTAAAATGTGAAATTTTATTAAGAGTAATGACACTTGAGTTAGGTGTGCAGGAAATGTTTTTTGTTTTTTGTCATTTTAATTCTTGCCAATAAAAATATGTCTATTTTTCCTTTTACAGGACAGCAAAGAGGTAGGTCCAGTATCTTGAATTATGGAAGAAATGAAGGTAGCTACGTTATTTGTGTTAGCATGGAATTATATTGTAACAATTTAACTAGGTTAAGTGTTTAATGGTAAAAAGAGCAGTCTGTGAATAAACAATTTTTAAAATTGCATTTATGAAGAAGTATAAAATACTACTCTATAAAACTGAATATGTGAGTGAACACTTTTTTCAGTTCTTATTTGGCAGCTAGTTTATTTTTTATTTTGCAAATTAATGTGTAACACTCTTCATCACAAAATATATTTTTAAGGGAAGTTTGTGATTTTTAGCTCCAAATTTTATACAAGTGATTCATTACTAATTTGTCAAGAACATGGAAGCTCATTTTCATTCACATGTGTGAAAGAACACTTGTAAGCATAAAACTGTTAGTACAGGAGAGTTTCTCCAAGTTCGAAATTTTATGCATCAAAATAAGTAAGCTATACACTAGTAATCTTAATACCTGTGACTAAATAATAAATGACTTTCATAGTTTCATAGTGCTTAGGGTTGGAAGGGACCTAAACAGATCATCAGGTCCAACCCCCTGGCCCAGGCAGGACTAGGTGCTGTGGTCATATCACCCCAGCCAAATATCTGTCCAGTCTCCTCTTGAAGACCCCCAAGGTAGAAGAGAGTACCACCTCATTTCGGAGCCCATTCCAGAGCCTGGCAGCCCTAACTATAAAGTAATGTCTCCTGATGTCCAGCCTGAACCTTATTTATAACAATTTGTGGACGTTATTCCTAGTAACCCCGGGTGGTACCCAGGGGAACAGAGCCTCCCACAATTCTCGCTGGCCCCCCGGTGAGTTTGTAAACAGCCACTAGATCTCCTCTCAGCCTTCTCTTGTGGAGGCTGAATAGGTTAGGCCCTTTAGCCTCTCCTTGCAGGGCCTGCCCCACTGCCCCTTCACCATGTGAGTGGCCCTCCTCTGGACCCTCTCAAGCTTAGCCATATCCCTCTTGAAGTGATGATGATGGGACTTAGCCAGGAGTCAGCAATGACTTCAAGATCCCTTTCTGCCACCGTGTTGACAAGAAGGGTGTTTCCCAGACTTTGTTCATTAACTAAACATTTTGTCAATCTGCTGGGTTTTTTTTTTTTGGGGGGGGGGAGGGGGGGTTGTTTTTATATATTTTTTTTTTAAACTTAAAAGCTACAAAGAATCTCAGGATACATGCGGGCAAGTCCAAAAAATTTATGTGAAGGTTATCTAGGCCACAGTTTTTAATTAACCTCTACCTCTATACTTCCTTTCTGTCATTAATGCACACGTTAGAAGGTTTTGTGTTTCCTTTTTAAAATAAGTTATAGATATTGAAGATAGCATGCTGTCTCAGCTGAATTCTTCAGTGGTGTTTATAGTGCAACATCCACACCATCTGTTCAGTTCTAGATTGAAAAACAGCAAATATATTTCTGACTTGAAGATTTCAGTTTAGTAAAAAACTATATTCAGTTCTGTCAACTCTTTCTTACAAATCTCCCAATATTCCATGGCTGTTGTAAAGCCTCCATTTCTAGAGTCTTGTAACCATGACCAGGACACACCTCATTAAAAAAAAAAAATTCTAGCCCTCATGGTTCCAGAGAAGTTGGAAAGAATGAACCTTCAGTGTCCAAAAGCACAACAGACAATGGTGCTCTGAAGTCATTTGAAATCAATTTAACATGTTTTGCAGGACTGACTAATGATGATGATTATTTTATTTCTATTTTATTTTTTATTTGTATTTGTTTTATTTTTTTAATGTTTGATGCCGGCTATACTGTGTTTTCCCAAATGTTATAGGGACATTAGGCAAATGTTGTCCTAAATATTTTCACCTTTTTTCATAACGTAAACCCTCTGAGCATGCTCAGTGGTATTCTTAAAATGTCATCCATTTTGATCATATGCCTTATTTAGCTTACTTGGAGAATCCAAAGAATCTGATCCAGTGGGCTGAGGTTAGAAAGAATAAAGGCAGCAGCCAGAAACAACATTCTTTTTCTGTAGAACTTTTTGTGGCTTACCATCTGCGGCATATAATTCTGTGGTGGTTAGATTTATTTTAATACTACATGCAACAAGTTTTGTTACTATGGATATCTTCATGAAGGATCAAGTTAATATTTTGCAGAAATGTATTTTTATTTCTCAGTCTAGAGCTTGTGACTGCTTGAGAATTTTTATTTATCTGCATGGTGGTACTCATTTTTCATTGCTTATCCATCCTGTTTCTTTAACTGATCTAGACTCATTTTTATGGTCCAGTATTTTACATGTCGGCCATGCTTTTTCTGACAATTTGCAGTTTCAAAAAAAGCTAAACAAGTTAGAAGAGCAGCTCAACAATGAAGCACAGGCCAAAGATGAATTAGAACTGAAGTACAGGTAAGAATGTTTCAGTGTCTTATTTGCTTCACTAATAAACACTTCAATAGTTTTCCTGTTTGAAAACTTCAAATTTAGTAAAGTGTATTTTAAGGGTCCCAGCTTCAAAAAACAGACTTCATTCGAAAAAAAATTAAGTCATCTGACTTCTGCCACCCTTTTTTCATCTTTTTAGATGAGGTTACCTCTTTTATTCAAATGATGATTTTTTCCCCTGCATCCTTCTGTTGCTTATCTAAAACAGTATCAACTATACAAAATACACAAGAAACATCCATATTATTGTTTTTTATTATAACTGATGCTTTTTTTTCCTATATTTATTTTCAAATTCTTTAGGTCTACTAATGCTCGTTTAGAGAAGATTGTGAAAGAACTAGATGAAGAGGTAAATTGATGTATTTTTCTTGATTTAAGTGCATGTGTGAAGTATTTAATTTTATTTTTCTTTTCCTGGGGACACAGTTTTGCAATTAAGTAACAGTGGAACTATAACAGTACCATTAGCATAAGAAGTTGCCCATATTGTAATATCTTGGTGAAAGAAGAGTATGATGACTTCTATGCTATCCCATTACTTTGGAGGACAAAGTAGGATTTAAATTCTTATGAAGTTAATAGCAGTTTAAGATGCAGGAGTAATAACAGTGTAGGCAGAAATTCTCTTTCCATAGAACAGATCCTAGTACAGGTTGCAGCAATTCAAGCATTCCTCTGGTTCAGTACAAATATGTTGGGACCACCTCTGGGGGGGCCATTACAGCTAAGCTGTACATGCCCATTTAATAATTTCTCCTGAAATTTCACATTTATTTTTGCGGATGTTTTTTGTTCAGTACATGCTTGTTCCCTAGAAACTAGATGGAGACCACCAAATTAATTGACTCTAAACTACTGAAAGCCTTCAGATAGAGGTCAGCAGCCAAATGCTGTTACTAAGACATGCTCAGGTTGGACCTCCTCCATTACTGATCTTTTGAAGGATCCAGACCTATCAGAAATAACATTTTATTACTATAGTTATTTCTCTGTTGCCTGTTGTGTTTGTATGCAACTGCCAGAACAGCTGTGAAATATTATGCCACATGTTTATAGGAAACAGATGCAATACACGTTTGTTTGTTTGTAAGTTAATTGGAATCCGTGAGCTGTTCTTTAAAGCAATTTTCTGTGTAGCTATGTCTCTTTTGTTTTTAACTTAATTATATAAATATTTCCAGGTAACCTCAAGGAAGAATGTAGAATCTTCATTAAGACTCCTAGAAAGAGAGAAGGCTCTTCTTCAGCACAAGAATGCAGAGTATCAGAGGAAAGCGGAATATGAAGCAGATAAAAAACGCAATTTGGAAAATGAAGGTATATGGAGCAGAATCTGAAAAAGGATTTAAGGGAATTCTTTTAACATAAGATATCTAAGTTGTTTGTAAGGATCAGTTTTTTTTAAAGGCATTTTAATCAATATGGTAGAGGTCACTGCTATATATATAAATATATTATATATATAATTTTATTTTATTTATTTATTTTTTTTTTACAGTGAACAGTTTGAAAGACCAGCTTGAAGATTTGAAAAAGAGAAATCAAAACTCTCAAATATCAAACGAGAAAATCAATCAGTTACAAAGACAGGCAAGTTATATTTGAGTATGTGAGTTACTTTATAATCACAAGAATAAGTTATTGAAGTTCAGGATTGAAGTCCTTAGCATATGAACTCTACATGAGATTTATGTTTAATTCTTTAAGAATTTAAATTACTCCTTACACTTTGGTTTAGTAATGTCATATTAAAATCACTTCAATCTTTGTCTTGTTTCTTTGATATATAACATGTTGATTAACAGATACTTGTCATAGTTTTAAATTTTAATTGCCTGAAATTTGTTTTTTTGAACCCTTAGCTGGATGAAGCAAATGCTTTGCTGCGTACAGAGTCTGATACTGCAGCCAGGTTAAGGAAGAATCAGACAGAAAGTACAAAACAGATCCAGCAGTTGGAAGCTAATAATCGTGAACTGCAAGATAAACACTGCATGCTAGAGAATGCTAAACTCAAACTTGAGAAGGACTTCCTCAATCTTCAGTCAGCTTTAGAATCAGAAAGACGAGATCGAAGCCATGGATCTGAGATTATTAGCGATCTGCAAGGTACTTCAACAGATACGTCTGAAATTATGCATTGATTCAAGTTTCAGAAGTGCAACAGGTTTTAGTGGTATTATTTGAAATGGGTTTTGTAACTAATTTAGTAAGATGTACAAGCTGAAATTTTGAGAGGGGGAAACATCATCAGTCAATACAAAGTGTTGCTAAGAACTTCCAATCAACTAGAAAATGGACATTTTTTAATAGCTACAATTTCTTAACTGATAAATTGTAATAGGTTAGTTGTGAAGCAGTTTCACTGTTTATTTCTGGCTAGTTGATGTTTTGGATATTTTTAGGTCGAATATCTGGCCTGGAAGAAGAAGTAAAAACTGGAAAGAGCACACTAGCCAAAATGGAAATGGAGAAGAGGCAATTGGAGGAGAAGCTTACAGATTTGGAAAAGGTAACTATTGCTTAAAACACGTATAACTGGATTGCATTATGAAAGGTAAAATGGCATCTTCAGGTGCCAAATTTGATCAGCCTGCATTGCTACTTATATGTTAATTGGTTTCTCTTTTCCTTCATTTGCTGCTCTTTAAAGAATTTTCACCAGGTGCCATTAATCAATATATTTCACCTTAAGATAGAGAAATACATTCAATTTATTCTCATAAAGAGGCATAGCAGGGCGGTTCTGCAATCAGGGCAGCCATGAATCACTGGGCAGCACCAGCTGCTGCTGTGGCAGTATGGTCAGCCGACACAGTGGTGGATGCTACTTTTGAACTCTCCTCCCTACCACCAACAAGTTACATTACTTTTCTCCTAGTACACAGATAAATTACGTTAAAAAATCCCAGTGCATGGCAATTAAAATGTCCTTATTAGTCAAATGCATATTGTGGGAATATATTTTTAGCAGGGAAAGAAATATATAAGTATGCATATAGTACACTTCATCACCTTTTCCCCTTTTGTTAATTCACCAAAGGAAAACCTATTTCAAATTACAGATATTTTCTTGTTTCTTTCTTTGGCCCTTTTTTCCTGTTTGAATGAATGAATCCATCTGGTAAAATCTGAACTTCTGTGTCCCGCTTGGAAGTTTACCTTTCTTTGTCAATATTATTGGCAACACCTTGAGAAATTAAAATTAAATCTGGTGTAAAAATTGACTAACTTTTTCATTATTCAGGCCAGTAATCTATTGCTGCATTTTTCACAGCATATTGTAATGACAATATAATTTTTCTTTTCTTTTTATCAGTTAAATTTTTATAGTTTTATGGATTAACTTAGTGTTCTGTCATGCAGACTGAAAACACACCAAAGTTAACATTGTAGTCCCTATTTAAAATTCTCAACATTTTTTTCACTTGCTGTAGCATAGGCATTATTGCCTTTTTCCTCACTCTTCCTTTTCTCTGGGATTCTTACTGGCAACCATCTTATTTTCAACCTTTGTAAAGAACCATGGGAAACTATAGTGCTGTACAATCTTCTGTTATATTATATTTTGCTTTATTTTAAAGAAAACTAAACTGTTCCCAGTGTATTAACACAACTGTATGGAAATGGGAATTGTGCAGAGCCTCATTGTATCCACGTAAAAAAACACAACTGTGGGATTCAGACATTAACATGTCAGCTCCTTTAGTGTAGGTTGGGTCTTCTACTGTTAATAAACTATCCAGCATTTCAGTTGAGCTCTACATTGTTATTATCCATACATTGTTTTTACCTTAGCGTGATATACAGTTGTTTTGTCAAATAAGTCAGTTCCTTTTTCCTGTACTTTTAACAGGAGAAGAACAACATGGAAATAGACATGACATACAAATTCAAAGTTTTGCAACAGAACTTGGAACAGGAAGAAGCTGAACATAAAGCTACAAAAGCACGATTAGCAGACAAAAATAAGATTTATGAATCTATTGAAGAAGCAAAATCAGAAGCCATGAAAGGTGTGTGTATTATGTTAAATGGGGCCTAGGAGTTACTGATCAACAGCAATGTACTACATTATGATAAGAAAGGGTAAATGACAAAAATGAACATTTCTAAGTCTCCAAACACTGAGTGGCCATACCCTGCACTTCTGCCATTTTTCCACTTGTTTGTTTCCACTGGTGATTTTAAATATCCATCATACAGCCTGTGGATGTACACCAGCAGTTACCAACCAGTGGATCTCAATGCACCAGTAGATCTTGGAGCCTCTTGCAGTAGATCTCAGAGCCTCTTGGAGTTGATCCGAGGCTGGGGTGGAGGGCTGAGTGCCTGTGTGCGTTCATGCACGTGCCCCAGCCCAGCAGGTCAATCTGTTGGGGAGGGGAGGGGTGGGGGTTAGATCGAGGGCCCCACGGTGAGGGACAGTGCCACAGAGGCAGGAGCAGGGGTAAGTTGAGTGGGGCCCAGCCGAGTGGGACTTACCTGCTGGGGAGGCGTGCCCTCAAATAAGTTTTTTCTTGCTCTGCCTTGATCAGCATCCCCTTCCTTCTCCACAGATTAACCTGCTGGGGGGTGTGGGGGGGTACAGTGGTGCACGGTAGATCTTGGGTTGCTTTTAAATGCCAAAGATTATCTCCTACTTAAAGGTTGGAGACCACTGATGTACACCATCTGCTCATTTCAAAGCAACTGCACTCATTGAAAAGGAACAGCAACTGTAACTCTGACTTTTTATTTTTCACATATCATGTACAATCTTGTCCCACTTTTCATGTTGCCAGCACCACCCTGTTGTTTGCTATTGATCTTGAAGTCCTTCTTATGGATGCTACACCAAGGTTGTGTAGGAACTTCTGGAGAACAAACAGTACATTATATGCTGCAGAAATTGATGACCAGATAAAATATATCCGCTTAATACCAGAAAACTGAAAACTCTTCATCCACTTTCTCTTCACAAGCACCTCCAATACATTCTTTGACGTTATCCTGATTGACCACAGCTGTTGTGGGGCTGTTTTCCTGGCTTTAATGTTCCAGCTTCCTGAAGGAGGAACTGCTTATATGAACTGCATTTTTCAGGATAGGAGGGGAGGTGGGGGGATTTTTTTTTTGTGTATGACAAGACGTGTCTCTCAAAAAGGCAGGCTCCTTGCCAAATTTCAGGTTCAAGCTCCAAAACTTAGGGCTGCAAAGCTAAAAAAACCCCCCAAAACGCAGTTTGTTAGATTTTTTTAATATGGACAAAAGATGTCTTTTTTCTCTTGCCCTGTTCCTGGAAATGGTTCTGATTTATTTTGGCTGGGGGAAAAATGCAGCATGAAGCAGAAATGCAGCATGAAAAAATAAAGCCCAGTTAACTTGGCAAAGTGAAAAAGAACTCCAAACAGTATTTTTAATTGAAAGTTTGAAGATGATGCAGCTAGCTCTGTTTTAATATTTTCTTTCTTAAACTATGCTCATCATCAGGGGGTCTAAAAACCTTTTAACTTACACATTTTACATCTTTAGTGAAATCAAATGTATACATAATGTTAAGCTATGAGGACAATGTGTGCAAATATCAGTGATCATTCAGTCAATTTGTGATAAGAACAGCTTTCTTACCCCTTTTAGTTGTAAGCCAGTGCATTAGTTTGAAAAACTAAGAATGTGAATAAAAAAAATTTGAGCCTAGGCTTGCAGATATTCAGAAAGCAAGAATAATGATGATTCAGTAGTAACATGCAGTTCAGTTAATACAACAGATTGCTGGACAGTTGAAATTATAGTCTACAGTTGATTCCAAACTAGGATAGCAAAAAACAGCATATGAAAAAGTTTGGGCAGTGTGTATGTAGCAAAGAGAACACCTTTAAAAAAAAATCAGGTTCTAAGACTGAGGATGGGTTGCAGATGAGCTGGAACTTGTCCCAGAGCAGAAAAGTAGAAAATAGCTGACAATCAGTAGGAGGTTTATGAGACATTCTGAAAATGCTTTTCAATTCATCCATTCAGCTGTGAGCTAACTGACCAGTATTTGTGTACTAGTTTTACAAAAAACCCTCTTTAGTTTTAAAGGCGTATACATCCTTAATTATCAATTTAATTAATACTTCATTTCACCTTTAATGCCAAAACACCCCACAGTATTTTAAACTGAAGAGACACAAGGTTTTTACATTTGGCCACAGTTAGGAACCTAACCAAGGGTCCCAATTTTTTAGAAATGTTGAATGCTCACAACTTGCATTGACTTAACCGTAATGATCTTATTTCACAGAAATGGAAAAGAAACTCTTGGAAGAAAGAGTTTCAAAGCAAAAAGTAGAAAACTGCATGTTAGAAGTTGAGAAGCGGTGTTCAATGTTGGACTGTGATCTCAAACAATCACAGCAGAAAATAAATGAACTCCTGAAGCAAAAGGATAAATTAAATGAAGAAGTAAGTTATATTTGTATCAGTAGTCTGATTTGGAACCTTTTTGATGATTGAAAAGCTTGTATTAGTGCTCAGTTTAGTTATGGCTCTTAATTTTGGTCAGTATCTATAAATATTTGCTACTTAAAATAACAGTAAAAATATCTGCACTGGTGGGAAAACTTCCTCCTAGTTTAAGCTTTATTTTTCTAAGCACTCAAATTATGTAAGAGTTTTTCATATAGAATCTAAAATTGTGTAATGCTGGGGCAAAGAGCTTGTTTTTTTTCTTTGCATTTAGAATTTATTGATCCTTTGCTTTCAAAAAGGACATCTGCATTATGTGCAATAATGTATTTTTAAAAAGTAGACCATCATACAAATATAAATACCGTTTTAAGACTCACTTTGCTACATGGGTTGTAAATTCCTCTAGGTACAAATAAGAATTGATTTGTTTTGCAGATCAAAAACTTAACATTAAAAATAGAACAGGAAACACAGAAACGCTGCCTCACACAGAATGACTTAAAGATGCAAACGCAACAAGTCAACTCATTAAAAATGTCAGAAAAGCAGCTAAAACAAGAGAATAACCATCTCCTGGAAATCAAACTGAGCTTGGAAAAGCAAAATAATGAACTCCGCAAGTAAGCAGAATTGCACCAAAATATCTTTTTGGGTTTTTTGTAGACACACTAATGTACTTTCATTTTCTGCAAAAATTTAGAACCATATTTATTTTAAATATTTGCCGTATAGAATTGACTCTATCAATACACTTTCCTGCAGTGTTGAATCTAATAATTACAAATAATTGCTGTTTGCTATTTGTTGTATTACAGAGGTACTTAATAGCCTGATGACATCAGTCCCCAGTGAGTTGGGCAGAGTATAGCTGCATAATAAGTGAGAAGCTCAGCTCCTATTCCATCTTTTAGATATTTAAATGTGCATCTCGCCTCAGGAGAGTGATCCTTTTCTGCCCAGGGAGACGCAGAATGTTCTCATTCTTTGTGACAGCCTAGTTTGCCTCCAGAGGCTGATCCTTTTTTGCCTGCAGAGGTGCATAGCTTTCCTATTCTGGCAGCAGGCAGCATTATGTGCCTCTGGAGCTTGTTGTGTAGTGGACTACCTATGGGATATACTGTTCCCATTCTACCACTTGTCAGGCAAATGGCTTAACTACCAAGTTACGACTCTACCATGGACCACATCTGGGCTGCTAAGAGATCATATCTGGCCTGTGCAAGGTCTGAGCAATAGAAAAGGCTTCTCCAGGGTCCTGTTGCTTACTACTTTTGGTCTATTCCCTCTGCCTGCAGCATCCTGAGCAGCAAAGAGGATGTCCCCAGTGTCTTTCCACCTGCAGAGGAATAGACTAAAATCAGCAACATCTGCTGACTGCCCAGCCCTCTCTCTTGTTTTTGTCTGACACCCCCAATTTAACCCTTTATATGTTACCAGCAGAGAGGGAACAAACATTTGCAACCCATGACAGAGTTGAGTTGCAATCAGTGGCCCTTGGTAGCAAAATATTGCTAACACCTGAGATACAGGAGAGGTCTGAGGGCTTCCTCTATTCTTTTTGTTAAATGGATAGGCCCCAAGTGTAAAGGAATGCAAGATTTGTACAAAGAACAAACAAGATGGAGTTACAATAGACTATAGACTGTATATAAGGCAACAGTGTGGCCTTATTGCAAAAAAAGGCCAACAGCATACTGGGTTGTATTAGCAGATACGTCATTTGCAAATCAGGGGATGTGATTCTTGCACTTTATTCAAGTGCTAACATGGTCTTACCTGGAGTACTGTGTCCAGTGTTGTGACCCACACTTCAAGAAGGTTGCGTACAGATTGGAAAGAATTCAGTGCAGAGCAGCAAAACTGATTAGGGACTTGGAAGGCAAGACTTATGAGGGCAGGCTAAAACAGAGGCAGGCAGTTGTTTTGGGTGGAGGGCCTCTTACTGAGTTTTGGCAACCAGCGAGGGCTGCATGACAGGCAGCCGGGGACAGATAGATATTAATTTTCTAAATTTTTTAGGGGCCCCGTGGGCCAGACCAAATGGCCTGGCGGGCTGCATGCAGCCCGCAGGCTACATTTTGCCCACCCCTGGGCTAAAAGAACTAGGGTTATTCAGTCTGAAGAAGAGAAGACTGAGGGGATTTGATAAGTCTTTAAATACCTGAAGGGCAGTTTTATAGAGGATAGAGAATGGCTTTTCTCTGTGGCCATAGGGTCTAGGGTTAAGAGCAATGTCCTCAAGTTTCAGTATGGGAAATTTAGGTTGGAGATTAGGAGAAACTTTCTGACCATGAGAGTGATCAAGCATTAGAATAGGCTACCTAGAGAAATTGTGGAATCTGCATCCTTGGAAGTTTTCAAGAGCAGTTTGTATTTGGCTGGGTTTTCCAGGGACTCTGAATGGGTGGAGTAGGATTGCACTTGAAGTTTTCAACACTTACAAACCGTTTAAGGGCCAGCCCTTAGAGGCTGAATAGGATTGAGGTCATAGTTTCTACCATAAGTAGCTAGGAAATAGAAAATAATTTCATAACCACATGTAGGGAGGGATTCAAGGATAAAACTTTATATTAAGTAGTAAGCTAATCTAAATGCTGTTTTCCAAAAATAGACAGTATGAGTGCATAAGGGAACACTGCAAGTTGAATGAAATGGAAAGCTGGTTGACATTAACTGTCCCTGAAAGGTTACACTGGAGTAAGACTTTAAAAATGGTAACACAGGTCTGCTGAATTTTCAGCTAAATAGTTCAGAGATCATATGTATAGATTGTGTGTAAAAGAGTATTTAAATAGACTGAGTCTTAGTATATGAGTTATGTTAGCTCTTTGAAGTACTTAGAATGTCTTGCATCTTTAAAGTAAAGATTTTACTAATATTAATTAGGTACCCCTAATCTGAAAGGAATCTTTAAAATGATGCTAAAATAAGAAGACCAACATCTTTGGTGATGTTTTGTATATTAATTGATACCTTTTGTAGTTACTATAGTTATCAATTTGTAGTAGATCAAGAACAGCCTTGTGACTGAAAAAGCAAAGCTAGCAAGGTGCCAAAGGAGGCTCATTTCTATTCCTGGCTCTGGCATGACTTCAAATGAATCATCTCTGGCCATGGATAAATGTTATATTTGTAATGTTACAAACTCCCTTGTTAGTGCTATAAGTTGAGTGACCAGATGAGCACTTTCCTGAGCTAAAAATTTGGTAGATGTATCACAAAGCTGTTCCTGGCAGAAACAGGAACTTCACCGTAGCACAAAAGGGTGTTGACTTATTGGGCCTCTGGCACATGTTACAATTATGGTGCAATTAAAGTATTACTCACACTGTAAACAGTCTATGTTACACATTCATCTGATTTATGTAGCCATAAAATATCAAAGCAGCCACAAAGTTATTCCCCAAAAATGTGGAATATCTTTGTGGCTTGTTTGTATGGCACCACAAATTGGGCATGTAGCACTTCCGTGCCTTGCCCTTCAGTTCGCACGGGGAAACCCCTCAAACATCAGTGTGAACATGAAAATGAGAGATGTTAATTGTTTGCTTTAGTTCTCTTTCTGGCAAAACCATGGAATAGTTTGACTGATCACTAACTAATCCCTAAAGAGAGGAGAAAGCTGTATCCACAGCTGTATATGTTGAAAAGAAAAAAAACCTTGCTAATGACCAGTAAAATCCTCAGGATTTGATGTGGACCATACCTTAGTAAGGGAATAGTAAGACAGGGATACAGTTTATCTATATGTATATGTACACACTCATAAAAGCGCAAACACTGTTCTTAAAAGAATTGTTTTTGACTTTACAGGGAACGTCAAGATGCAGATGGACAAATGAAAGAGCTTCAAGACCAGCTTGAAGCTGAACAATATTTCTCAGTATGTATTATTGATTACCCCTTTCCATTCTTTAAGGACCATATCATCTTTCACATTTCCCCCAGAGCATTAGGCTTTAGCTCTTTTTTTATAAATGTAGAGTTGAAAAGGGCTTCTTGTTATCTTTCTTTAGTCACCTGTGTCCAGATCAGTGCCCCCAACCCTGGCTTCTCTTCTGGGAGACTTGATTTGATTGCAAGTGATGAGTAGCCTAAAGAAGGAAGGGGAAGAGCTTGTACTGGGGAACACAAGAAATATCCCTGCTCTTGCAAGGGGTCCATTCCTCCCATTGGATGTTCAGAGGAAAATACTAACTAATTTTTCCTTTGATCTTACTGCTCAATAGTTTAAACATTTGCTCAGGTTTTTCAAGTCTCATAATCAGGGATCCTGGTTTTCCCTGATAAAAAAATTGCAAATTCTCTGATAAAACCCCAAATCCATGATTAAAATAAAAGCCCCCCTACATTCCACCCCCCCCCTCCCTCGGTGCCCCTTGCCCCTCATCAGACTTGCTGGAGGGGGCCCCAGCTGGCAGGGCTACAGGACCAGGGATCCAGGTCTGTAGTTGTCTGCCCCATGGAGCCCGGCTCCCCCTAACCCCACACTGCCTGCTGCCTGCCTGCTGCGGGCGCAGGTTGGGGGAGCCAGCTGCCCGCTGCTGCGTGCACTTCCGGAGGGCAACAAGGACCCACACCCCCCAGATATGCCCACGGGGTAGGTGCGGGCTCGGGTTCCTTCCCTGCTGCTCTCTTGTGGGGCCTCTGCAGCCCAGCATGTGTGACCTGGCACTGCAGGGAACAGCAGAGCTGCATGGGGATCTCCTTGCCACGGTGAGCTCTGTGCTGTCCTGGCAATGCATCCTCTGTGTGTGAGGGGAAGCATCACGGGGTTGTGCTGATCACTGCAGCCTTGCATGTGGAGGACACATTGCCAGGGCAGGGGAGACTTGCGCCCCCCAGATCTGTGTATGGTGTGGGCATGGCTGTGGGCTTGGGCTCCTGCCCTGCTGACCTCCCCCAGGGCCTCCACAACCTGGTGGGTGAGACATGGCCCTGCAGGGCAGCTTGCAGCTGCACAGGAAAGCTGCTTGCCACTGCAAGCTCCATGTTGCCCTGGCGACACATCCTCTGCATGTGAGGCTGCAGTGAGTGGCACAACCCTGCACTGCTTCCCCTGCTGCCCCCACGCCTGGAGGATGCATTGCCAGTGCAGTGTGGGAGCTTGCAGCGGCAAGGAGATCCCTGCGTGGCTTTGTTGTTCCCTGCAGTGCCGGGTCTCGCATGCGGGGCTGCAGAGGCCCTAGGGGAGTGCAGCAGGGCGGGAACCCAAACCCACAGCGGGCAGCCCACCCATGCTCCACATACAGATCTAGGGAGCACGGGTCCTCCCTGCCCCCTGGGAGTGCACACAGCAGTGGGGAGCCCACCCAGTCCACCCCCGAACAAGCTGCCCATGGCCCTGTCCCGCTCCCCTCCAGGGTCCTGTGACCCTGCATTGCAGCCCCTGGCCCCAAGCCCCATCCACTGCCTGGCTGGGCAGCAGCCCAAGCCTCTCCCCAGCATGGGGGGCCTCAATTTCCAAACCCCCCCC